ATATTGTTTATTAGTACTTATTACATATAATATTTAATTTTTCATTAATATTGCTAATACGCATGCGCCCTTGATGAATCATAGATAATATTATGATTATAGTAATACCATTGAAAAGTTAAGTCTTATTTATAATTATTGCTTATAAATAATTAAAAAATAAACGTTGTTGACCATGGTAGCTTAATTTTTAAGCACAAATGACACACAGTCGATTGGCGTCAATTAAATTATGATATCTTCAATAGTTTTTGAATAAATCGAGATTGAATTTCCACCTGCACTCGAAACGATTCTCCTTTTTTTTAACAAAACTAATGAATGCACAATTTTGATACCCACATATTTAAAACTCGCAAACGACGCACAATTCATTGACAAAGTTTCAATTAATGGATTATTTATATCGGGTGCCAAATTCAACTTACGACAGTATATATTTCTTTAATCTATGCTTACAATGGTTACCCTTTGTAGATCTATTATCTATGGTTACAATCATAGACATTGTAACCTATCATAGATATAGATAATGGACGGCGCATTCTCTATAGTATCTGTAGTCTAGTTCAATGATCTAACTGTAATATGAGTATAGGCAGAAACGTCTGATAGAGACCTATGATAGAAACTATCGACGTTTACTAATGGACATGCCTTAACGGTCAGAATTGTGGTACAACAAAAGAAAGAAATGGAACGAAGTTTCGGACTATATCCATCTCTCTCACGAAAATGCGTAAGCGTGTCATGAAAGAGGTAGCACTAGTCCGAAACCATATGCCATCTCCCTCACTTTCCCAGCCAAGAAATTATTACCTTGACATACGGCTACGGCACGTCCATTAATATATGTCTATGATAGAAACAAAGTGATCATGCAATAAGTAAAAAGTAAAGATGTGTTTACACTTTTAGACGAAATGACTGTAATTGAAAAGGTTATGATTTGAAAATTACTTCAACAGATTTTAGTTAATTACGTGTAACTTCTCCAAAACTATTATAATAAACTAATATCCAGTTGTAATGTAAAATGCAATCAAGATTGCAACTGTGATCTAAATTTTACATGATAATTTTTTTAAAAAGTATCTATAGTTCAATCTCATTGTATAGTGTAAAAGCCATGAAAAACGCTTTTAAATATATAAATGATCCATCAGAATTAAAAGAACATTTTATGAAAGAAGAAGAACAAAAATCGCTAATAATCTTTGCTCATTGGTCTAATAAAATGCAAAAAATAAACACAAGCATCATGTGAGGAATAAGTTAACGGTTGACGTTAATTAAAACAGAAACAAATAGATGACCTTCGTGAAACGTACTTATTCCTTCTCTGTTATAACTTAGGTGTCAGTGTTTCTATTATATTTTTTTATCTATAAGCCATTTGATTTATTTTTTGGGTATCCATCCAGTTTACAGCTCCATAGTGTTGTAAAAATAAATTAGCTTTTTTTTTATAAGAAAACCCCGGAATGTCAATTTAGTAGTGACTAAATGTGCTTCTTCACTAACGAATTAAAATGCTTGGCAACGTCAAAAAATCTGCATTATGCTGTGACTTCAAAAATTGATGTCGGAGTGTGATTGTCGAATATTCGGGATTAGTTTTTAAATAATCTGAAAACATTATTAAAATTTGTGTGTGACATGTTAGTTTAGCATTTAAGATGGCCTCAAATTCAACTTTCGAGGCTAAAGTGTTAATGTCCAAAGGAAAACGTGCTGCAGCAGCTTATATACACGCTGATTGTTCACAAAGAGCTAATCCCAAACATCTGAGTGAAGTTTTAGATATTTTATTAAATCCTGCCAAAGCAATTGATGAATGGGAGACGATAGATTGGTGCAAATGGCTAATGGCTGGGGGCAGAACCCCAGATGAATTCGCTAACACAGGTAGATATGTGCACACTGACATTTACCTTGTCAATGTCCTTGATTAGGTCTTTCCATGTTTTTAACATTACAAACACTTTTCTGTTATATATTTAATAATGACTCATTAATTTTTTACTTTTTTAAACTAAAATAGATACTAAATATTAAATACTTTGGGCACAAGCATATAGTCTCTTAATTTATTTATCCAAAATACTTTCATAATCATTACAAAATTTACATAATATTATTTTTATTACATTTCCTTAGAAATAACATCCAACTTTGAAACTTAAGCATATTTCTTATTAAATGCTTTCAAATCAAATATTTGTCTGAGTAAAAAAATAAATATACCTAAAAATTAAAAACAGTTTATNTTATAATTATTGGAGTTGTTTTTTATTATATACAACTGTAAACTTTTTTTTAAAAAATATTTAATATTGCCATTTTTTAGATATATTTACATACAGGTACCTAATTCAAGAAAGTCTTAAAGATTGAATTTGAAGTGTATTAGTTCTTTGACTTTTCATTATTAAAATCATTTAAAACAGTAAAATTAATCTTTTGGCACCTATACTTTAAGCTCATTAAATTTAAGTTAATAGCATTTTAATCTTGTAACAATATTGTTATAAAGGTATTAATACTGCCACTAAAATGATTAGAGTATTCCATTCTTTATTCATATTTATGTTGTTACTCAACAAACTCATTAATTAGATCGTAAAGAATAATCGGTTTATATCTAGAAAAATACAATTCTTATTGTTAATTTTGTTTACAGTTCGAACTTATGATAATGCAACCACTTGTGGTTTAGTATGGACTCCCAATTTTGTTGCATATCGTTGTAGAACTTGTGGAATTTCACCATGCATGTCTTTATGTACCGAGTGTTTTAAAAAAGGTAACCATCAGAGGCATGACTTTAATATGTTCCTCAGTCAAGCTGGTGGCGCCTGTGATTGTGGGGACACTTCTGTTATGAAGGAAACTGGGTAAATATCTTCTTGTAAAATTGTGTGTAGATAGTTGGAAATATATTGTACAAAAAATTAAAATTTGAGCAAAATTCTATTTCTATTTTGAAATACCTTAAATACATTAGTATGTACTTAAAACAATGGTGTCTAATATCTAANTGACAAAAAAGCTGTGATTGTTGTATATAAAGACATTCTATAATATATTTACTATCAGCATCGCACCCATGCGAAGCATAGTGTACAAATAATACCATTAAACCAATTCCTTAACCCCTATCCCGGTATGTTTGTGTGTTTGAAGAAGTTTCACTTCAGTAGCGTATTGTATAATTACACGTATTTTTTTTAAATTTCTCCGACAGAGATTTTTATCATATGTATTTTGTTAAAGATTCATTCTTTTTATCATTATCTAGTCCAACGTTACAGCGAGTAACATCTTGGAACAGCATAGATCCCGATTCACTCGAACCAACTCATTGTAATAACGGTACATCCAGGGATGGCCAAGACGCAACATCAAAACAAAAAGAAGAATGGTTACACAACGTTTCGTATACATCACACGACTACAATCAACGATATCGTCATGTCAACGAAGAATTTAACGACACAAACGTATTATCCTACAATTATAACATGCACAAGGAGTCGTTGATTTACTCCGACATCAACAAATCTGATATTAACATGAATCAGGAGAAGCAAGAAGTAATTTACAATTTTAAACGAGAATTAAAACGCGTAACTAATGAAAACGCTAGAGAGACGTTTGCAAGAGGACAAGAGCAATTTATAGATTCCCTAGAGCCTTATACAGAAATTTCAACAACCCTTTAATTGGTTATTTATTCATTCGCAATAATATATTAACATACGTAGGTATGTAGAAAAACACGTACATAAAATTATTGTTTATTTAGTTTTAATTTAATTTCATGTAAATTGTATTTTCCTACTGTGAAAAATTAGTAATTACTAGATCTTAATAAAAATAATGCAACGAATTTGGCAATTATTTATAAATTTCCCCCTGCCCCCGGCCATTTTATTGCTCCACTATGACGTAGTGTCGGCCATCATTCTTTTCTAATTGTTGCAGTTGTCGGCCATCATTCTTTTTCAATTGTTGTCGCATTGTTACTGATGTCGGCCATTATGACGTAATGTCGGCCATCATTCTTTTCTAATTGTTGCAGTTGTCGGCCATCATTCTTTTTCAATTGTTGTCGCATTGTTAATGATATCGGCCATTGTGGTTTTTAATAGTATAAGAAATTGCTGATACTAACATTCATTTACGTAATACTACTTTGCCCAGTTCTGACAGCACTCAGTTTTTTTTATATATAATATTAACCTGTTTGTCCTATAAAACACCTATATTTTGATACTGTTGTAAAACAACAACAAATAAGCTCTTGTATAATAACAGTTAATAACTTTATGTAGACAAAAAGGCATTAAAAATCGATCATTGCCATCTTACCACTGGGTTAGCAACTACGAATAAGAAATAGTGCCACGTGTTACAGAGTCCTCTACTGAAATACACCTTATGGTGCCACCTTACAGTAAATTGAAGAACTACGTACTTTCAAAAAATGGCAGTAAACAGGAATATTAATTTTATTTTGCACTCCGAAAAATCTAAAACAATTTATACAGACACTTCTCCATGTTCTTTGAAAACTTAGAATAACGTGTCTAATATTTAAAGATTCAATGAAAAAATATGATTTTATGATTTTCAAGACACCTGTTTATTAATGAAATACTCGACGTTAACTAATCGTAAACTATAAATTAGCACATACCTTCATGGTTTTTATTTTTGTATAAAATATTAAATAACATATTTACAAAATTTGCAACACATTTGTAATAAAATGATATTCTTAAATTCATTTTTTTCTTTTGTTTCCTCCTTTCTTGCCATATTTCAGTCTTTTTCTTACTCCCATTGCCCCTTCAACATCGTCATCATCTGCACCGCCCCCTTTCCTCTTCTTTCCTTTTTTCTCAGTCAAATCCTTCATTTCCTGCAATTGGTGAAACAAAAAGGGTTTACAGCCTCAACAAAATTAAAGAATTTTCATTTTTTACCATTTTAGCAATTCGTTGCGCTTCAGCAACCCTTTCTTGAAGAACCATAACTTCTTCCTCTTCAGTTTTATATAAGGGCAATTCTTTACCAATTAACTGTTCTATTCGTTGGTACAATTCCACATCATACTACAAAAAAAAATGAAAATGAAACTGCAAAAACTTGTTAAATTAAAATGTTAAATTAATAAATTAATAATAATAAATAAATGGGCAATTTCAAAGACAAGTAGCTCACTGGTCTTTAATTGTAGCTCACATCAAATAATACTAACCATTCAAAACAGGGCTCTAATTGATGTGCAATTGATAATTAATTAAATATAAAGAATGGAGCGTCAAACATAGACCCGAATGCTAAGCGCTTCAATTGGCAGCCCAAGCATGGTCACAGTGTTGGTAGTTATACCAGATTTTGAACGTTTACATCCCATTGTTTACATTCAATTAATTAACAATTACACTTCAAAGATAGCATTGTTTTTAATGATTTTATATCATTATGATATGATTAAACAACAATGAGTTACTTCACATTGAAATTGCCAACTAATTCTATCTATCACCTTATACTACAAAAAAGGTACCTGTGTGACAAAGGTAATGGCATTACCAGACCGTCCTGCTCTAGCAGTTCTTCCAACCCTATGAATATAATCTTTACTGTGAGTTGGTATATCAAAATTTATTACCACATCAACGTGCGGAATATCCAAGCCCCTAAAACAAAAAAAAAATTATGGTAGCATATCAAGTCCATTGAATTCATATTAATTGAAGAAACAATTAAAATTTTTATCAGTGGTAGTGACGAATAAATATATCATAGCATTTCATTCACGTTGTATACATCATTTAGAATAAAATATACACTATATATCAATAAGATGAAAAAATTTAATTACCTGCTGGCCACATCTGTTGAAATGAGAATAGATCGACTTTTAGCTTTAAACTTTGTTAATGCTGCTAATCTTTTATTCTGATTCATTTGACCATGCAAAGGAACTGCAGTGAAACCAAGGTTTCTTAACATCAGTGCAGTTCTAATTGTATTGTTACATGTTGAGCAGAATATCATGAAACTGTTTCCTGCCATCTCATTGAGAATATGAACCAAATAAACATCCTGCAATCAGAAATCATCTTCAGTTAAACTTTATGCTCGGTTCAGAAATATAATTATTTTAAATATCTCATCTTCAAAATAAGCAATGATAAAATTACCTTAAACTTAACAGGCAGGAATATGTAGTACTGCTGCAACTTATCAACAGTTTGATATTTTGTGGAAACCTCAACTTTGACAGGATCTTGTAGAGAAGCTCTTTGCAATTTCCTTACTTTTTTTGTCATAGTAGCAGAAAATAACATCGTTCTGCGTTCCCTGGGTATAACTTTTAATATCTTATTAACTTCTACCTCAAAGTCCATATTCAATATCCTGTCAGCTTCATCCATTACCTATTTATACCATTAATTAACAAATTATTTTAAATAACATTTTAAAATAGCTTACAAGGTACTTTAATGGTTTTAGGTTGAAACCTTTAGTGTTTTCCAAGTGATCAATCAATCTGCCAGGGGTAGCAATTAAAATATGTGGTTTTTTTGCTAAAACCAATGCTTGAGACATCATATCCATGCCTCCAACTATAACTGCGCATTTCACTCCAATGTTTGACCCTGACAAGATCAGGTATTAGTGATTTCATAAATAGTTAGTTAAATACATACCTAATGCTTCAAACTGTTCTGAAATTTGAAAGGCAAGTTCCCTAGTTGGTGTCAAGACTAAAGCAAAATACCTCTGTGGATTTTCCAAAAGAGATTGTAAAATGGGTAAAGCAAATGCTGCTGTCTTGCCAGATCCAGTTTCTGCTAACCCAATAACATCTTTCCCTTGCAAAGCCAGTGGAATAGACTCCTTCTGAATCTTTGTTGGTGTTTTCCATTTCAGTTGCTCGCATGTTTTACACAAAACATCAACTAAGCCCTATAATTAAAAAATAAACTGTCTAATACTATGTACTACAATTATCAGAAGTAAAACAAGCACGTGGTAAGCACTCACTAAATCTTCCCATGTTTTTTCTTCCTTTTTATCATGGTTGTTATTTGTTAAAGGTTCACTTTGAGCACTAGCCTCCTCCGCTACATCTTCTTCAGATACCATTTCATAAAATTAATATAGTCTACAAAACGCGGTACAATTTCTAGAACATAGCACACGTGCATACATTGAGCATAGATAAACTTTAAGGTTATAATCATAGATTACAATCATAGCATAATCATAGATTAAAGAAATATCATAGACATAAATAATCATAGATGAGAGATAATTAATACAGTCGTGTGAAACTGACAACCGATATAAATAATTCTCTAATTTAAATTTTACAAGTAAATTGCGCATCATTTGCGGATTCTAAATATGTAAGCACTTTAATTGTGCGTGCATTAGTTTTGAAAATACAAAGAAAACTGTTTCAGGCACAGGTGGAAATTCAGTATCAATTTATTCAAAACCTACTGAACATGTCATAATTTAATTGATGCCAATCATTTGTGCTGGAAAATTGAGCTATTATAATAAATTGATTTATCTTTATATTGTTTATTAGTAATAATTACATATAATATTTAATTTTTCATTAATATTGCTAATACGCATGCGCCCTTGATGAATCATAGATAATATTATGATTATAGTAATACCATTGAAAAGTTAAGTCTTATTTATAATTATTGCTTATAAATAATTAAAAAATAAACGTTGTTGACCATGGTAGCTTAATTTTTAAGCACAAATGACACACAGTCGATTGGCGTCAATTAAATTATGATATCTTCAATAGTTTTTGAATAAATCGAGATTGAATTTCCACCTGCACTCGAAACGATTCTCCTTTTTTTTAACAAAACTAATGAATGCACAATTTTGATACCCACATATTTAAAACTCGCAAACGACGCACAATTCATTGACAAAGTTTCAATTAATGGATTATTTATATCGGGTGCCAAATTCAACTTACGACAGTATATATTTCTTTAATCTATGCTTACAATGGTTACCCTTTGTAGATCTATTATCTATGGTTACAATCATAGACATTGTAACCTATCATAGATATAGATAATGGACGGCGCATTCTCTATAGTATCTGTAGTCTAGTTCAATGATCTAACTGTAATATGAGTATAGGCAGAAACGTCTGATAGAGACCTATGATAGAAACTATCGACGTTTACTAATGGACATGCCTTAACGGTCAGAATTGTGGTACAACAAAAGAAAGAAATGGAACGAAGTTTCGGACTATATCCATCTCTCTCACGAAAATGCGTAAGCGTGTCATGAAAGAGGTAGCACTAGTCCGAAACCATATGCCATCTCCCTCACTTTCCCAGCCAAGAAATTATTACCTTGACATACGGCTACGGCACGTCCATTAATATATGTCTATGATAGAAACAAAGTGATCATGCAATAAGTAAAAAGTAAAGATGTGTTTACACTTTTAGACGAAATGACTGTAATTGAAAAGGTTATGATTTGAAAATTACTTCAACAGATTTTAGTTAATTACGTGTAACTTCTCCAAAACTATTATAATAAACTAATATCCAGTTGTAATGTAAAATGCAATCAAGATTGCAACTGTGATCTAAATTTTACATGATAATTTTTTTAAAAAGTATCTATAGTTCAATCTCATTGTATAGTGTAAAAGCCATGAAAAACGCTTTTAAATATATAAATGATCCATCAGAATTAAAAGAACATTTTATGAAAGAAGAAGAACAAAAATCGCTAATAATCTTTGCTCATTGGTCTAATAAAATGCAAAAAATAAACACAAGCATCATGTGAGGAATAAGTTAACGGTTGACGTTAATTAAAACAGAAACAAATAGATGACCTTCGTGAAACGTACTTATTCCTTCTCTGTTATAACTTAGGTGTCAGTGTTTCTATTATATTTTTTTATCTATAAGCCATTTGATTTATTTTTTGGGTATCCATCCAGTTTACAGCTCCATAGTGTTGTAAAAATAAATTAGCTTTTTTTTTATAAGAAAACCCCGGAATGTCAATTTAGTAGTGACTAAATGTGCTTCTTCACTAACGAATTAAAATGCTTGGCAACGTCAAAAAATCTGCATTATGCTGTGACTTCAAAAATTGATGTCGGAGTGTGATTGTCGAATATTCGGGATTAGTTTTTAAATAATCTGAAAACATTATTAAAATTTGTGTGTGACATGTTAGTTTAGCATTTAAGATGGCCTCAAATTCAACTTTCGAGGCTAAAGTGTTAATGTCCAAAGGAAAACGTGCTGCAGCAGCTTATATACACGCTGATTGTTCACAAAGAGCTAATCCCAAACATCTGAGTGAAGTTTTAGATATTTTATTAAATCCTGCCAAAGCAATTGATGAA